GAGCTAGGATTCTACCCTTCCATTCTAAGATTGGTTCATCTATAACTGAAAATGAACAATCCTAGTTCTATAATCGACTGAGGCATAACAAGAATGTAACCAAACAATGCCTAGAATGACATCGAACTCTACCATTTCTAACTCTACAAGATCTGCGGAGGTGACTTTTTGGGAGACTGTGATAGGGCATTTCTGTATACCTGTCTAGCTATAACTGGGTCACCGATTGAATAGAGACTGATAAAGGTTCTGAGAGAGTTTCTGGACTAACATCAAACTTAACTGCTATATAAGGAGTAACAAAGGAAAGAGTAGCCCCTGGATCTAACAAAGCATAAACATCGAGATCAAAGACTCGTAACATACTAGTGACTACATCAGGAAAATGTTCCTGATCCTGACGAGCCTGAAAAGCATAGAGCCTATTATGGCGCTGTCCGCCACCTATACCAAATAAGTTACCCTGTTGAGTCAGGCGACTTGTTGGCGCTGCTGAAGTTGTGGACTGAGCTCTACCATTTCCTCCTGTTTAGAAGGACAATCCCTCAACCTGTGACAAGACTGACCACATCCAAATCATCCTTCCTTTCCTGTGAGGCACTCACCCAGATGGTTTGTACCACACTTAGGGAAAGTTGGGTAGGTTTTGGTACATGAAACACTTCATTGAGACTTAGAGCCCGATACCCTTCCCTTCAAATCTTGTCTGAATTTGGTGGATGGAACACTAGCTAATGAATGTACTGGAGCTAAAAAAATTTGCTGACCTGCGAGCGATTTCCACCACCAGAATTCTGCTGAGAATAGTCATAGTTTCCAGTACTAGACTTCTTGTTCTCCTCGTCATATTCCTTAAGCTTACCACCCTCAACCTGTTGAGCATTAGTCATAAGCCTAGAGATGTTCATATTTTCCAGCAACATAACATTTCTACACTCTGTCTTCACCAAGTCTGACACTCCATATAGAAACTTATTCATCTAAGCCCTAGAATCAGCAACAATGGAAGGAGCATACCTCGAGAGTTAGGTAAACTTGAGCCCATACTCTTGGACTGTCATGCCTTAAGTTCTCTTGGGAAAAACCTGTCTAGAAAAGGCTCACTAAAACAATCCCAAGTGATAGGAGCTTCATCTGCATCCCTGTTCTCTTTCCACTACGTATACTAGATATGAGCCACATCCTTCAGTTGGTAAGATGCTAACTCAACTCGTTCATTCCCAGTTACCTACGTCACTTCAAAGATCTTCATGACCTCATCAATAAAGTTTTGGGTATCCTCGCCAATCTACGATCCTAAGAACTCTGGCGGATTCATTATAACAAAATCGCTCACTCTAACTACAGTTGACCCAACATTAGCATTTGCCTGAACTGGAACCCACTGATTGTTCTGGTTGGCAACATTCTGAGCCAACATCTGAATGGTGTTCCGGAACTCTGCATTCAAAACTTCTTGATCTGGGATTAGAGGAGCTATGTTTGCGTTCCTAGCATTCGCATTCCTGGCTTTATCTCTACGAGGAGGCATGATCACTGAAATGTAGAATGTTGAGTTAGAACAGAATTAGATCATACCTTACGCACAATAATAGGAACACAAAAATGAAGATTTTTCCTAAAACATTTTGTAGCCTCCCTCTCATTAGATGTGGTGCACTTCACACCCATGAAAATGACTACACTTAGTGCGGCTTTTCAGACATCCTATGACTCTTAAACCTAATTCTCTGATACCAAGTATGTCATGCCCCGAGCTACCCCCGAGATGCAGACACGGGACATAGGATCACAAGTGACCCCAAGCTAACCCTGTTGGCATGACATGAGCTTACTAAGAAGAATAATAACTGATGCGGAAGCTAAATCAAGAAAATGAAATTGATGGGGAATACCCATATACTAAACTGAATAAATCAAATCTGAGAGTTTTAATACAAAAGAAATATCAAAGTCAAATAGTAAGCTAAATCTAATTATGTTTGAAAATAGCCTTTAAATGACTAGAAGTGTTAGGACATGCCCCAACTAAGTCTAGAAAAACTGAAAATAAAACAATGAAAACTGAAAGAGAACATGACTATTGTCCTCGGAGAATGAGGACTCACCACTGATGTTGTTGAACTGGAGATTGAGAACCGATCTAAGCGTGATCTGGATGCTGAGAACTTGAACCTACATCAGGAGAAGATTTAGCGCAGAGTATGGGCCAGTACTTGAAAGGTACTAAGCATGCAGGATAAAGTAAAGCTGAAATAAACACATAACTGAACAAGCAATAAAGCAAGAGCATAATCTAAACATGATAAAGATACTGAATACTGAGCTAACTGAATGCAATGACCAAATTTATAACATGATGAGACTGTATGCCGACAGTACTGAAATATGGTCAATGCAATGGAGTGTGACTGAAATATGGTCAATCCTTAATGTAGAGTCCGATGTATACGGCCCATCGAGTGGACGCAATACACCCGGCCAAAGGTGTAGAGGAATGCTGGAGTGATCACTAAAATGATGCCCACAGAAGGGACTTACAACCGACGTGGCTCGTAGTTTTGGGACTATATGGGTGACTGACCTTAGTCCAACTTGGTATTATAGTACTCCCAATAGATTAAAGGATCAACACATTTTGACAGAATTTCTGTAATATACTCGATAGCTTAAAACTGATATGCAAATTGAGAATGCACATTTATATATCGATAATGACACATTCAAGACTAAGGCATTTATATCTAAAATACTAAATTATCTGACCTAGCATGTGTAATAAAAGAACTAAAGAAATACATAGCTAGGGTTCAGAAATTCATGGAATAAATGAAGTAATAACATGATAATCTAATTTGGAACATGTAAATAACCACCTCATGATAATCTGTTGAAGTTTTAGAAACCTTAGGTCTAGTTAATAATAAGGAATCAAGAATCTGACTAAAATATAGGGACCTAATGGGTGAAAAGAACCCACTAATGAAACCACACATACCTGGTGGTCAATTCCACAGAGATATATTTCGATTTCGGGGCTGGAACTAATGGAACCTTGTTGCGTTCTTCAACTAGGTTGCTTGATGTGCCGCGAAATCGTAGCACATTTGATACTTAATAACTATCAACTAATACTGGAATTAAGTCATATTTTGGAATTATTTTATGGGTTTGTTAATTGTGTAGGCAGAATTTGGGTTTTACATAAAAAAAATCATAACTGATATCGACCCAAAGTGAAGTTCATGGCCAATATAATGAACCGTTACTTCATTACGGTCTGTGGTTGAGCTCGTGAAAGTGGGGCAGAACTGGGCCCTGAAAAGATGAAAAGCAAGAACAACCAAGTGAAGATCACGAAGAGGTATACGGGCCATTGTTATTTCCACGGACCGTGGTACCTACCGTGAAGTTGAACCAGTATAAAAGCAGGAAAAAGTTGAAAGAAAGATTGAATCCTGAGTGAAGACCATGGGTGACTTCACGGGCCGTGGTCCTCACTACGGACCATGGTAGCTCTCGTAGTACATTTTCCAGTGACCAAGTTCAAAGACCCACTTTGGGGAAGCTCAAGGCAAGACCACGGAGGTCTTCACGGACCATGAAAACCTTGACGGGTCGTAGTAGCAGCAGTGACAAGGCCCGACAATTCAGTCCTAACTTGATTAGGACTCATTTTAAACATCCTATTTTTAAATTACTTTAGGTCATTTTTGAGGGGATTATCGATTATCTGACATTTTGAGCAGAAGAAAGGGCGATTACTTTTAGTTTTGGTGTTTTGGGATTCAGATTATTGTGATCAGTTGGAAGTTGTTCATTTCGATCTTGATATTATCAAGTGGTTGTTGATTTACCAGTTATTTTGTAAGTATCTCATAACATGATTTTAGAAACCAGTATTGATTCTTTGCGTAAAAACATGAGTAGCTAAACGTCACTACTGGGTGTGTGTGATCTATGATGACATTCTAATTTCGATTCCGTAAAATGAGTAAAAGGCAATCTTTGTTTACAACCTGTAGTTTACAACTTTCATTATCATTTTTGTCTATTGAGTGCACTCTTTAGACAAGCCTGTATCTGGTGTTTGCTCGAGAGAAAAGTATTAGTTTTGAAAAGGCTAAACTAAGTTTACGAATTGGAGTTAAAGTTGGATTTCGAGAGAAGGAATCTTTAACACCATATCAAATTGAGCGAAGTTCAATATCGATAACACTTTACGTTCGACAGAATTAAAGTGGATATTATCTAATTAGGCTTAGAAGCGTTAGATGTATTAAATTCGCCAAGGTTCTGTAAACATTGACTTACCTGACACTCAATTTACGAGAGAGCATTATAATCGATGTCTTAGTGAACACAAAACTTGGTTTCCTTAAATTAATTGAATCAACTTACAACGAGATCTTTTGTGAACTGTGCAACTAAGTTTTGATAGAATACTTTTCAATCAAACCCAAATTTATTTTCCTTGTTAATTGTTTAGGAAATAGTAACGACAATTGAGTAAACGCGACAATGAAACTTTATATGTAAACAAATTCTCTGTGGGATCGATCTCAACTCAGGTTGAGTTTTGTAAATTGACAACGACCGTTTGTACTCCTTATTAGGGGTGTAATTTTGGACGTATCAAATTTTGGCGCCACTGTCAAGGAATTTCAATTTAGAAGTGTTTTACTAGATTTTATTCAATTTGTAGTTATATTTCCTAATTTTACGTTTTGTCCTGTGTTTGTGTCTCTTTCAGGTGAGTGCTACTGTGTATGCCAAGTACCAGGAGTAAAGGAGTTTCATTGACCCCTTACGACTCACAACTCGAAAAGACTCTTTGAAAAATGGTGAATGCACAAGAACTGGAGGCACAATGACAAAGGTTGGGACTAGAAGTTGAAGCCGCTGCAAGAGGTGCTCAACAGAACGACGGTAACAACCAACCTCGGGTGGTAGATGAGAATAGAGAAGTGGATGGATTGATTCCTCCCTAGCGCCAACCAATGGCTCCAAGGGTTAGAGCCCAGCATCCAGCGCACATGATGTATGATAAAGATGATGCAGATTTGGATGGGACTGGAGCCACTGGAGCGATAGTGTTACATGCACTACCTCCAGGTGTTAAGTTCACAATCACCAGCACTATGATTCAATTGTTGAACCTTAAAGGTATGTTTAGGGGTGCAGCTGGTGATGATGCAAATCAGCACTTGATGAACTTTGTGGCTATCTGTAAGTCACAAGAGATTCCTGGAGTAAACCAAACAATAATGAGATTGAGGCTGTTTCCATTGCCTCTTACTGGAGAGGCGACTAACTGGTTGAATGAGATGCCAGATGACTCCATCAGAATTTGGAATGAGTTGAAGGAAGCTTTCCTGGAACGATTCTTCCCAGAATCAAAAGAGCTGCAGATGAAGGACGAGATTAGTACACACAAGCAACTACCAGGAGAAGCCATGCATGATACTTGGTGGAGGTTCAGCCAAAAGTTAAAGAAATGCCCCAACCATGACCTTACCGATAGGCATCTTAAACAGGCCTTTTATAGGTCTCTGAATTATGTTACTAAACCTGTTGTTGATGCAGTTTGTGGAGGCTCATTTATGAGGAAGCCATTTGCAGAAAGCATACAGCTATTAGATGAGGTCTCAAAGAAAAATAGAGCATGGTATACTAGAGATGCAGAGGTAGGAGAGCTTGGGTATACGTTTGATCTTTCATCTGAACAAAGGAAGAGAGAAGAAGAAAGGGACCAAGACATGGCAGATATGAGGACTCAAATAGACTTGCTCACAAAGCAAATTTTTGCCAAGTCTGAAAAGGTGAATGTTGTGGGACAGAAGAACAGGTAGAAGATCAGGATCTTGACATTGATGAGGAAGCTAATTATTTGGGGAATCAAGGAGGTTTCCAGAATTATAACTTTGGAAATCAGGGTTACAATTCTGGAAATGCAGGTCGGAGCTATGCGAGAGATGGTCAGTATGAAAGGCAAGCAAATAGAGATCAAGGAAACTGGCAAAATAGAGAAGGGTATAGGACTGACCGCAGTGGTGTATATGTACCTCCAGGTAATAGACACCGGGGTAGTGGTAATTCTACCGGGTCTAAGCTGGAGGACATGATGGCTAAGGTACTTCAAAAGGTTGAGTCAACCGATGCAGAGGTGAAAGAAATGAGAGGTGACTTCTCGAGCATGGTCAGTTGGTGGACTCTCACACCACCTCCATAAAAAAAATAGAGTAGCAGTTGGGGCAACTCTCAGCCTCAATGAACCAGAGAAAGAACGGATCACTACCAAGTGATGCCATTCAAAATCCCAAGAAAGACGGACATTGCATGGCCATCGCCACTAGGAGTGGTAAAGATCTTTCTGACTTTATTTCTGCAGGTACCAATTATGAACAGGTCTTGGAGCAAGCTAGTAGAGAGAAGGATGAGAATATACAGGTAGACGATCTAAGAGAGGCTCAAAAATCTCAATCTAAAGCACAACCTTCGAGAGGAAAAGAGAAAGAGGTTCAGGAAAAACTGCCCTTACAGCAGATTCCCAGGCCACCTCCTCATTTCCCTCAAAGGCTCAAAAAGAAAGATGAAGATGGAAAGTTTACGAGATTCATCACCATGCTGAAACAACTTTCAGTAAATATTCCATTAGTTGAAGCCCTAGAGCAGATGCCAGGATATGCCAAGTTCATGAAAGACTTGGTCACCAAGAAAAGAGTCGTAAGTCATGATTTCTCTAACGATGTTCATCATTGCAGTGTCATTGCTACTAGATCTCTGGTGCAGAAAAAGGAGGATCCAGGTACATTCACAATATCATGCACCATTGGGTCAATCAAGTTTGCAAAAGCTTTATGTGATCTGTGAGCTAGCATAAATCTGATGCCTTTAGCCATTTATAAAAAGTTAGGTTTGGGAGTACCAAAACCTACAACAATGAGGTTGATGATGGCCGATAGGTCTGTAAAGAGGCAAGTGGGAATCCTATGTGATGTACTAGTAAAGGTGGATACTTTCATTTTTCCAGCTGATTTTGTGATTCTGGATTGCGAAGTAGATTTTGACGTTCCCAAAATTTTGGGAAGACCCTTTTTGGCCACGGGAAGAGCTTTAGTGGATGTTGAGAGTGGAGAGTTGAAATTCAGACTCAACACATATGAGGTAAGTTCAATATTTGCATGTCAATGAAACAACCATGAGATATGAATGTGATATCTGCAATAGAGATGGTCACTGATGAAGACATGAGGGTACCCATAGAAGAGAGAATAGCTGTTGAAACATTAGCAGCAATACTGATGAACTTTGATGCTGATTTCCGGTCTAACTATGTAGAGACCGTGAATGCCTTCCAGGGTATGGAAGCACATTCGTATGCTCCAAAGAAATTGGATTTGGACTTGAAAAACAGGCCAAGCTCTCCAGCGAAACCATCCATTGAGGAGCCACCAGTGTTAGAGCTGAAGCAATTACCCACTCACCTCAGGTATGTATTCTTAGGTACTAATAACATTTTACCTGTGATATTGGCGGCAAATTTGAATGAAGAGCAGGTACAAGAGGTGATCAAGGTTCTAAAAAGATATAAATGAGCCATTGGATGGACCATTGCTGATATAATTGGGATACCTCCAGGTATTTGCACACATAAAATTCATCTTGAGAAAGACTGTAGCCCGAGTATTGAACACCAACGGAGATTGAACCCACCTATGCAAGAGGTGGTTAAGAAATAAATAATCAAATGGTTAGATGTTGGGGTGGTCTACCCTATTTCTGATAGCCACTGGGTCAGTCCAGTGCAATGTGTGCCTAAAAAAGGAAGCATGATTGTGGTAGCAAATGCCAAGAATGAATTAGTCCGCAGAGACCAGTCACTGGATGGCGAGTGTGCATGGATTACATGAAGCTGAATAAATGGACTTTGAGGGATCATTTCCCCATGCCTTTCATGGACCAGATGCTTGACAGATTGGTAGGTAAATGATGGTATTGTTTCTTAGATGGATACTCTGGCTACAACCAGATATCAATTGCACCTGAAGATCAGGAAAAGACTACCTTCATATGTCCTTATGGCACCTTTGTGTTTAAACGAATGCCATTTGTATTATGTAATGCACCAGCCACATTTCAAAGGTGTATGATGTCCATCTTTTCAGACATGGTTGAGGACACTCTAGAGGTATTTATGGATGACTTTTCTGTAGTAGGGGATGCTTTTGATGACTGTTTGTTGAATCTTAGCAGGGCTTTATAGAGATGTGAGGAAGCCAACTTAGTGCTAAATTGGGAGAAGTGCTACTTCATGGTAAAAGAGGGCGTAGTCCTTGGACCCAAGGTGTCACAGAAAGGAATTGAGGTCGACAAGGCTAAGATTGAGGTGATTGAAAAATTACCTCCGCCAATCTATGTGAAGGGTGTGCGAAGCTTCCTAGGACACGCCGAATTTTATAGGCGTTTCATCAAAGACTTTTCAAAAATTGCACAACCCATGTGCAAGCTTTTAGAGAAGGAGATGAAATTTTTCTTTGATGAGGCATGCATTAAAGCTTTTGAGTGCAAAAATTTGATGTTGGGAAGAAGATGACAGACCTAGTGCCTAGTATAAGACTACGGCAGGTTGTACGGACCGTGGAAGACATTACGGGTCGTACAACTTGTCGTAGACCACACTTGAATATCAACCAAGTCCTCAGTTCAAGTTCATGGGCAGTATCACGGACCGTGGTTCACTCCACGGGCCGTGAAACCTTCTGTTAACATCCCTTGGTTAAATGACCAGAAATTTCTTGTGCACTCAAATTCTGTTTAAACTCCAAGAGGGACATCACGGTCCGTTGTTTATACCACGACTCATTCAAGTGCTTGAAGTGTTCCCTTGATTGTATCTTTAAATTTTTTTTTAGGTATTTAGTTTTTGTTAATATTGTTATTCCGTGGCCCTTCCCGATGATAGATTGGGTGACGACATTCTTAAGGCAAGGCGTCACGATGATATTACACAGGGGAAGTTTGAGTACCCGTTAGTTGATCGTTTCATTAATGATTGTACTGAATTGGTGTTTTGCTTCTCAGGTACAAAGGGTCCCAGAAGAAAGAATGCTAACAAATCTACCCCTGTCACCGCTTCACAATCAGAGGGTCATGGCGACTCCGAAGCAAGTGGGTCTGAGGTACAAATAAATGTTACACCTGAAGATCACTCACCTCGGGCTACTAGATCAGTGGTTAGGAGAGCTACTCTCCAGGACTCTCATCCTCAACCTGAAGAGAGAGAAAGTAGTTCCGAGAATGGGAAAAACTTGGGAAGTCAATATGATACTGCGGCTGGTAACCAATCTTCAAATGACTCGGGGGACAATGCTGAATCTGACAGCGGTTCGCAGGCCGACACAAGTACTACTCCACCTGTGGCTACCACAGAAGCTGAAACTGGAGTACGAGAGGAAATAGTTAATAGAGAGGATGAGGAGGAAATCACCGATGATGATGCCATAATGATGTATGTGAACGCTCAGGAACCTAAGACCACAGCTGATTGCTTGTTATCGCTCCACGTGGACTGTCAACAGGTCTAAAGAGTTCTTCGACAATGGTATTGTGAATAAGACTGGGGGTTTCAAGAATCGAGCAATTATGCCTAAGACTAGGGTAGTGGTAGCTGATGTCAAAGCATTCTCGGACATGTATTGCATATTTCAGCTCCATCAGTTCGATTGGATGGACAATTCACCTGGTGAATACTCTAGCCACCTGACTAGAGAATTTATTCCTCGTATGCAGCTACATTGATGAATTTTGTTGTGGATACAGAGACCATAAAGAGTGGACAGAAAGACATGGCTAGTACCTGGGGTCCACTCAACTCAATCATAGTTAAGGGCAAATCAATACGTATTTCTGAGGCGTCGATTAACAGACTGTTGTACGGCCCAGAATACTCTGCACCCGTTTCAGTTGGCCTTTTCGAAGGAAAACATCATGAGGTCACCAATGATGTTGCAACGGAAGATCAGACTTCTCGAGAAAGGGTTTTACGCTGGATTGCGAAGCAAATCGCCATAGATGGGGAAAATGCAGGTTGGGTCACCACAACTCCAACACTTATCACTAAAGCTTTGTTATCCTTCCCGACCAAGGTTTGGTGGGCTGTTGTCCGAGCGCAATTGAGACCGATGGCTAATGATAACACTTTGTCCCCCTCCTTGGCCTCGTTAGTAGCATGTCTTATGGTAGGTTACCCGGTCAATGCAGGAAGGATAATAGCAATCAAGATGAGAGACAGGGCACTAAATGAGAGAGTTGCACTTCCTTTTCCCTGTCTGATAGGGAAATTATGTTAAGGAGTGAATATTCCTCCGAACAGCCTAGTTGACAGATTGGGTGAAGCATTCAGACTAACCCAGGTTTCAAAAATCAAAGATGTCGCAAACTATCTCTTTGGCGCGAAATCTGCCGATGTAGGTACTTTAGTTATTATTCCACATGTCCCACTTGATACCCCCGAGGCAAGTAGAGATCCAGAACAGGGGGAGTCATTACAACCGTCCACAGAGGCACACCACCCCCAGCTTCAGCATCCCAGACATCAGGTACTTTTATCACTATCCCTATGCTTTTTCTTGAGAAATTGGTTGAAGAGCAGTGCCAGACCAGGACATTGGTAGACCAAATTGTGCTTGGGATGCCCCAGCTGATAGAGACAAAGGTATTAGCTGCGAAAAAGGAGATCAAAGATGAGATGAGGACAGAGCTATCAGTCTTAAAGGACAGAATGGATGGTTTGGAGAACCTTGTTCAGGATCGTTTCCAATCTACCGGTTCAGCAGATATTGAAGAGTTCAAAGCCTAGTTGGCCGAAATGTGCACTCAAATTGCTAAGCTGGCTGAAAAGCCAGCACAGGTGCCCACTCCGGTCATGACAGAGTCGTTGATGCAAATGTTAAGTCAGGCACTCGCCACTCAAAACACTCGATGATCTTTGGGGAGCACCTCCTACAAGTAAATCCAGCAAGAGAAAACACATAGCTGGAGAACTTGATGAGGAGACCCCTACTGACCCAGCTAGAGAGGCAAGAAGGCAAAAAAAAAGAGCTCATAGAGCATCAAAGAGGGAAGCTAGGGAGAAGGAAGCCCTTGCCCAGCAACAGCGAGATGCAACCTTAGTTGGAGCTACTGGTAGTGGTGCACCTGCTTCGACTAATGAGGACCACACTGATCATGCCCTGAGACCTAAGACTGCACCCATTGATAAGGGTGCCAATGTTGATAGGACGACCGACGTCTAGAGCGCCGCAGATATGAACCCTCCTCATAGCCTATGTATTTGATTGTTTTATCTCGACTTTGAGGACAAAGTCCTTTTTCTTTGGGGAGGGGATGGTCAGCAGCCGGCCATAGCGGTTATCTCTTTGTATTACTGTGTTGGGTCTTTTATGTATTGAGCTGTGCAATAGCTACTATGTGAATGTTGAGGACCCAAACATGGGTTTGACTTTAGGATCTTTAGATGACATCTTCGATACTGATATGTTGAAAATGCCTAATCTGACCAATTAATTGGTGAACCAAGAAACTAAAAAAATGCAATCCTGTGTAGTATGTGAGTAAGTTTTGATTGAAGTCTAACACTAGGAGCAGAAACTAGAACTTTCTTAAGTAGACTTGCTTGAATCTGAAAATAACCGGATAGGAAAGGATCAGTAGGCCATTTTTGTTAAACCAGTAAAAAGCCAAAAAATAAAGGAACCAAATGAAAAGCTTATCACTTGAACCCAATTTGAGCCTTAAATCAGTCTTTGTTCCTACCCAATATATATCAAATCATTAGTTCTCCGAAGGTACACGATATCACAACTCAGGCC